TAGGTTGGGAATGAGAAGAAGGCTTCAGCAAGAAGACGTGTCCTTAACAGTTAGTTAGGCATCCTTAGACAGACATTACAGGGACAGGTGGATGACCCTAATAAGCCAACTAAACCAACTAACCAACCAACCAAACTGCATTGTTTCCTTAAAGCAAATGAAATCATAATACACTGCTGTTGTATTTCCAAAGCAACTGAAATTGCACTAAAGAGTTCCACATTTTAAAACACCCACAACATTATTCCATTGGGGAAATGGTGATTTTATGTTTCTGCAATTGGCAGAATGTATAATCAAATAGCACACTTTATACATTTTGCAAATATGGGCAAAATATTAAAATCCTTTTGTTGCTTTGCTTTTATTTCAAGTAACACAGCAAGTATATTCTGGAGAACTAAGCTTTATCTGCAGGTAAAATCTGTACATTCCAAAACAATCAATAGAACAAATTATTCCCATCTAAGACTGGGGTTATTTAAAGACTTTACTGTGTCTGCATTACATTGTTCTTTTATTAGTAACCTGTTTTCCTTCTTCCAACTGCCTGTTTTCACGTACACACACAGATAAACACACAACTGCAGAAAGGCTCAAAATGGAAGCACCCATATGCCCAATCAAAAGCACTGTCAGTGCGACCTACAAACTTATGTATAAATTAAGATCATAGTCATAATGTGTTTCAGTGGAACCACTGATAATCAAGACTGAGTAAATGAGTTTCTGGTTGAGCAAGAAGCTTTCTCCTTTCTGTTCCTCCTCATTCCAGATGGACCCCCAGAAATTGCCCATAAGAGCATATGGCGGTAAGGTACACAGGTGGAGGTAAATGAATTCATCTAATATAGTGTTTCTCAATCTCAGCAACTTTAAGATGTGTGGACTTCAACTCCCAGAATTCCCCATCCATCCCAGCAGGAATCCTGGGAGTGGTTGGAGATAGATTCAGATGGATGTACTCCATTTTTTTTACAATTATCTCCCAGGAGTTATCAGTTTATTACCTATGCCTATTATGGTTTACTACTTACATGTAAACTAAAATTATTTCTGACTGTAAACTTGTGCCTACATGTCTGAAAATCAGATTTTTTTTAATTCAAAGGGACTTGAATTCTAAGAAGACATATATTAGATTTTATATCAGTTACTTAAGTAGGGATATAACATATTTCACAAATAAAACAACACGGATGAATAAAGGGTAATGTATTTGAATTGCCCCAATTTAATTCAATTGAGCTGCTATAGGAAACATTTAAGAAAACAAAAGAAACATTTATGAAAACGCAGCTAAAACACTATAAATGGGGGACTAATTTTTCCTAATAAAGCAGTCTGCCGTTCTATATGCATTGCTCCACAGATTTCTTTCTTAGAATACTGTCAGTAAAGGAAGTCATTTTATATCACATTCAAGGGTAATATCTGTAGCAGGTGAAACATGAAGGGTACTTACAAAAAGGACTTTCTTGTATCAAATGAGTTTGGCTAAGAGGTAAAATGCAAAACTCAGTTCATTATACATTTAAAAATCAAGTCACTCTGGCCAAATGCTAAAAAGATTCTGAAGTAGTTCCAGTCTTGTAGAGGAGTATGGAGACAATCTTGAAGAAGGAATGCAAGAACAGTTAAGTAAGCATCCACTCAGCCCTAGGAAAGAAGCAGGGTGAGAAAGAAACTCAAGATACCCCATCTTGATTCTCTTTGGTATAAGAGGGGATTTGGCTTTCAAGATTCTGTTATTACACTCTACAACAATAATGCAGAATTCCAGTAGTCTTTCTAGTGTCAGTTTTATGACCTGGCCTACCTTGAAGGGCTGACAAGTTCTTTGAGGTATGACAGATAACATTTTGCACCTTACAAAATAAAAATAAGTGCAACATCATTTATCCCTTTTACTAACTGCAGGGGCTTCTGACAAAACCCACTTCATGCTTTAACTTTGAATAATCCAGTACAATCAAATGTTTATAATTTCCAGTAAAGAAATTATTAGCATCACGCAGCAGTAGTAAGATTGCCACAGAGGAAGAGGACAAGGATCATCTAGTGTACTACATAAGCCTGGATAGTTAGGTTTGGGTCTCAGTTTTGCTGATGGCAAAATCCTAGGAGCCAAGACCACGTTTCAGGATGTTCCTGTTCTGGAAATAGAGGGGTGAATGTTGCAACTTCCCCCCATTCTTCCTGCAGCCCTTTTACATTCCTCACTAAAACTTGCTCTAGAGAATTGAAGATCCAGGCTGAACAGGAAAAAAGTTTAGTTCCCCCTTTCTATCTAGGGATCCTTTACACAGCAAGCCTTCCATACATGGAAAGGGGGGCCCTTTCATTCCTAGAAGGGCTCTCCAAGATTCAAACATAGTTTGCATGTTTCAAAACGAATGTATTGAGGGGAAAAAAAATAGCCCCCTCCAAATGATCAGGGTTCCACTTGGCTCATTACCTCTGTATAAGCAACTCCTTGCCATTTTATATGAAAATGATTACCAAGCATTTATTTAGTGGTTACAGGTTAAAGGCATCTTTATGCAAAAAACTCCAACACCTTCAGTTTTCCACTTTGGTACAGAACTAATACTGAAGCAATCAAGTTGTTTAATAGTGTGCATAGGATTTCATTCAACAACTCTGACCGCTTTTTGGCTGAAGACTTTTCCCCGTATATAATCATGGAACTGAGAGTTAAATTCAGCTCTTTCAGTTAGGACACAGCCAGATGGGCGGGATATAATACAATCTACCGGTCCTTGAGGGGTCAGAAAAGGATGCTGGTTATAGAATATGCTGCCTTGATGGACAAGCTATAAGCTGCTTCAGTAACAAGGCACAAAGGAAGTGTCATGAGGACATGTCATATAAAAATAGCTATCGGGGCATTACTCATGCTGCCATTAGGGAAGATGAGGATCTGCCCTTAGGTAGCTCCACAATAGGCATGGAGGGATCTCAGGATTTCCACCTTTGATTCAGTTTGTTTCATTCTACTGTCCATTTGACAATAAGAAAGAAAAGCAGGAAAATATGCGTGCATTTTGGAATTTTCCTAAAGGGTGCACTTCTGGACACACTTTGCCTTATATTCCCATTTTCTGCAAGCTGTTTTAACTAACGTTACAGATTTCTGTGCCTTATTTTCACCAACATATATTTTTCAGTACTTTTTCCTCTACAGCATTCTCTTTTGTACAGTTTTAATGGGAATACAGCACTGCCGTTCAAGGAATACAAACTTCAAAGAAAAACTGAGTGCTGTTGAAGAAAGTTACTATTCAAACTGAAATCTAAATTTTCTCTCTCATCATTAGCCCTAAATAGTTTTGACTTCAGTCTGCTTTTTGTTGAACAGAGTAGGCTAACATTGTTATTACTACTTATTGCTTTTATTCCACATAGGTTAGATTATTATATTTTAAAAAATGGCAGGGCCCAACTTTCAACTAAGCTATCCATTTACTAATACAGTTTTCTGTAATTTATGTTGATTTAGATGTTTATTTTAAAATGCTTTTACAGTGTTTGTATATTGCGGGGGGGGGCGGGGAGGTAGAATTGTATGTTGAAAGG